CTAGTGGGAGGTGGAGCCTAGTGGGAGGTGGAGCCTAGTGGGAGGTGGAGCCTAGTGGGAGGTCCTTAGGTCACTGGGGACAGGCCCTGGAAGGTAGTTCTTTCCAGAGGGCTTCTAAGAGAGTTTGGGCGTGGTTCCACCCAGGTCTCTCTGGCTTCCTGTCTGAGATGAGATACTCCCACACACTGTCCCACCATTCCCACCCATTGAGGACCAGAAATGAGCTGATGCAGGCTCCATACCCTGGGACCTCCAAAACTGTGAGCTAAATCATCCCCCACCCCGTGTGTGTGTGTGTGTGTGTGTGTGTGTGTGTGTGTGTGTGTATGTACATATGCTTTAGAGATGGAACCCGGGGCCTCATGCTCAGTGCTCTACCAATGAGCTACACACCCATCCTCTTTATAAGTTATCTACTTTAGGCATTTTGTTGTAGTAACACAAAGCCAACTAATACATGGTGGCTCTTGACCACCCTAGTGTCAGGTGCTACCCTCTGGGGGACAGTATATCTGTGAGTAAGATCAAGAGTCCTTCTCCCTGGAGATTCATATTCTAGTAAAAGTGAAACAGAGAATAACCACAGAAACAAAGAAATAATTTCTGAGTGGCAACTTCTGTGAAAAAAAAATCGTGTTCTTCAATAAGTGAAAGATAGAATCACAGCATGACCCAGAAATCCCCCCCTCGGTATTCCCACGAGAGCGTTGAAAACAGGGACCCAAGCAAGTACTTGTGCCCATGTGTTCACAGCAGCCCCAAAGTGGAACCTATCTCAAGTGTAATCAGCAGATGAACAGATGCATAAAATGGGCTCCACCCACACCCAGAGGTCCCTTGGCCACCAGCAAGAGTGAGGTGACACAGCTGCAGCATGGAGGGACCCAAGGACCTCATGCTCAGTGAGAACCAGACACACAAGGCCACAGTGTATGACCCAGTGACAGGAGAGTCCAGGACAGGACAGTCCAGAGATGGGGTGTAGACCTGTGGGTGCAGGAGGAGGCTGCTCAGGGGGACGGGCTTCCACTAAGGGTGGTGAACTGTTCTGGATGAGGAAATGGAGGTGGTGCATGACTATCAGCGTACCAATGCCTCCGAGTTGCACCCCACCGAGTGTAAAGTGGTCAATTTTAAGTGCATTTCTTCCCCATTTAAGGAAAAGTGCATTGTACAAAAAAAAAAAAAAGTTGGGCAGTGGGGTAGGGTGGTGAGTGGGAGGCAGCCTCTCTGAGGAGACAGCTTCTGAACTGACACATGGATAGCATGAACATATGTGAGGGGGGAAGAGCATGTGTAAAGGCCCTGTGGTAGGAGTGAATGCAACGTGTTCCTGCGACACAGAAGACCACTGCAGTGATGTAACTGGGAGAGAACACAGAAGTCAGTTCTACTTGAGGTCATGTGCTTCATTTCCTAGCAAAGTGCCACAGACATTTATTCTCTCCTAGTTTGGGAGATCAGAAGTCTGAAATTGGGGTGTCTGCCGAGGTGTCCCTCCTGGATCTCTGGAGGGAATCTATTACCTGCCTCACTCTCTCCAGCAGTCCTGGGGTTCCTTGGCTCCGTAGATGCCTCGCCCTGGTCTCTGCCTCCATCTTTCACTTGGCCTCCCCCACCCCACGCCTTTCCCTTCTCTTCTAAAGATGCCTGTGGTTGGATTTAGAACCCCTCTAATCCAGGATGATCTGCATCCTGCATCCTTAACCTAATTCCATCTGCAAAGACCCTTTTTCCAAATAAAGTCACATGCACAAGATCCCAGGACTGGGGCATACCCGTGTGTCCTGGGGGCCACCCTTCAGCCCCTTACAGGGCCCAGGTGGGGGGGCAGCAATTGGAAGAGACACTGATAGAGGCTCCCTCCGCGTGCGCAGCCTGGTCTACCCGTCCTCTCAGGAGGTCCTGGAGGTGACACTGGAGCGTCCCATTGCCCGGACCGGGGGAATGAGGCCTGGCGCGGATCCGGGAGCAGGACGGGGCTCAGCCCCACTGTCCCCGGGCTGGCGGCTCCCTCCCGGCTGCGGCTCCCCAGCGCACAACTGCAGGGGGCGCTGCGCCCGAGGCAGCCGGGCAGTGTGTCCGAGAGGCTGCTGCCCCAGCCCCAGTCCCCGCGCGGCTCCTTGAAGGGAGAAGCGGGGTGGGGCCTGCCCCTGCGTCCCTGTCGTCTGCTGCCCCTGTTCCGTCCTCACATCTGTGATGCGCCACCAGACACGAGCGAGGCACCTGCCCCGGCGGCTGCGGAGAGGCCCGTCCCCCGCCAACGGGGAGGAGCCGAGCGGCCGGGCCTGCTCCTCCGCCGCCTGCCCCCGCCTCCCGCCCCTGCACACAAAGCAGCGGCGGTAACTGTCCCCGAGAAGCCAGCCTCGCCCGCCCGCTGTGCGCCCAGCGAACCCGCGGAGGCAGGCCGCGGGCAGCGATGACAGGGGCCACCGCCCGGCCAGCGGGAGCCCACCGCTGACCCAGACCCAGCTGCACCGCCCTGCAGGGCAGAGCTCGGCCGCCGCGTCGCCCAGGGTGACCTTCCCGGGATGCCGAGTCCCCGCCAGCCTCTCCCCGCGAGGCTCTGAAGGCCCGGGGGCCAGGAGTGCCGCGCACCGGGAGCGCTCGCCTTTGTTTGCCGGTGACAGTGACAGGGACGAGAGGTGAGTGAGCCCGTCTCCTGCTCCAGCGCCCGGGAGGCGGAGGCGGAGGGCGGCATTTGCTGCCGCCCAGCCCCAGGTGGGGCCGATGGAAGGGAGGAGGCGCTCTCGCCCATCTTGCCCTGGTGGCCCTGTGGCCCAGGCCAGCAAACCTCCCGGACGGGCTGCAGCGGGCAGGTTTGACCATTGTCAGGACAGCTCAGGGCTTAGGCAGATAAAGGGCTGTCCCCTCTCCTGGGGAGCGCCCTGGGCCTCTGCTGTTTCCTATTTATAACCCCCAGGGGCTCTGCCAGCTGCGGATTTGGGGAAAAAGATGTTGTGTGTCGCTGAGGGCTGGCTGGTGGGGTGGGAGGAAGGAGCTGCTAAAGACGCCTCCTCCTCTTCCCGACTTGTGCCTGATGGGTTAATAATCAGCTCGAGCATCCACACTCCTTCCCAGATGCCCCCCACCGTGGCCGGGACCTGAGAGGAGCTTGTGGGCCACTGGGACCCACCACACCCCGTATTTGGCGGATGTGGCCGGTCGGTCCCCAGGGAGCTGAGGTCATTGCCAGCTCAGGGCTGCAGACCCCTTCCAGGGAGGAGATGCTTCTGCACTGGAGAGGACCCGCCCGCCCAGCGGTTGCTCTGCCATAGCATCCGGAAGGGACTGTTTTGCTCCTGTGCTGCGCCTCGCTGTCCCTCCTCCATGAGTGAATGACGACATTCAAGCAGCCAAGAGAGGATGTGGGCTCTCTGGAAGCCCGGGAGCGTCTAGGTCCAGCTGCTCCCTCTTCCTTGGGGACCGCGGGGCTCAGCCTCCCTCCGAGGCCCCCCTCACCAGCCACAGCAGAGCCATCTCCACGTCCCCCCCCCCGGTGTGAGGGACACACCCAACCACCTGGCCCTGCCAGCTCTGCAGAGGGGCAGCGGTGCGGGGCTGGGGGTCAGGGTCCGCCCGTGCTGAGGAGTGTGGGTGACAGGAGCTCTTCAGAACACGGAGGTCACAGGGTGGTCCAGCAGCTGCGCTCCATGGTGACTGCAGAGCTGGGGCCTGAAACCCTCCCACAAAAGGCAAATAGAGAAGAAATGGCTGTTTCCCTTGAATGCCCCGTGGACATTTGGCCCTGAGGACGCCCTTGTTGCCTGGGGACAGCCTGGGCACTGTGGGTGTCCAGCAGGCTCCCTGGCCTCCACCCGGAGCTCGTCCCTCAGGCACAGCAACCCAAAGTGCCCGCAGAAATCGCCAAGTGTCCCCTGAGGGTGGGCAGGGTCATCCCGGTTGGAAACCACTGATTAAAGGCACCAGCGAGCAGGGCTGATGGAGCAGGAGACCCCCCTGGCCGTCCAGAGGGCCCGCAAGTTGCCCCTACTTTAGTCCTTTCACCTGCCAACAGGAAGCCGAGGCCGAGAGGTGAAGGGCCTGGGAGTCTGCAGGGCCGGGGTTCCCCCATTTCAGCTCCTCCTCAACCCTCATCCTGTCCCAGCGGACCCAAGCCACCGTCCGGAGCCCCACCCCCAGAACCCTGAGAACAAAACCTGATATGACTTCCAGTCCTGCTGCTCAGTGCTGCCTTCCTGTCCTGGGGTCAGGCTGTCAGGAGGTGCAGGAGAACAGGGGGCAAGGGAGGGGACTGGAGCAGAGAGAGGGTAGGCGTGGGCCTGGTCCTCTTTGAAAGTGTCAGTCCCAGCAGGGAAAATTAAGCACATCAGTCATTCACACTTTAGTCTGAACTAGCTTTTAAGGCGTTCATGGCTTCCCAGTTGAGATCCAGAGGGAGGAGGAGCCTGTCTGGGTCACGGCTCGCCCTAGGGAAGGAAGCCTCGTGGGTGGAAGAAGGGGTGCGGAGCTGTTTGCAGACCCACCTCTGAGAGCTGCGGTTGGGGGGCCGTTGTTAGGACCCCTGTCCACTCAACCCGCTCCTCCCTCCCAGCTCTCCTCCAGGGCCCCTCCTCCCGGCTCCCATGGGGACCACAGAAGCCACCCTGCGGATGGAGAAGGTGGAGGTGAAGGACGAGTGGCAGGATGAGGACCTCCCCAGGTAGGACTCTAGCCCAGCGCCTGAGCGGGGTGGCAGGTACACCAGCTGGCACCTGGAGCCCCCCGGACCTGCCCCAAGCTCTATGTGGGAACGGGCAGGTCCTCTGGCGGGGGACCCGAGTCCTCCCTGTGGCCTCAGGGCGGGCCAGTGGAGGCCAGGCCATGGCGGATATCTGCTGAACATCTGACCTCCTCCGAGGCTCCCAGAGCCCCCCCACAGGCCACTTTAAGAATTCCAGCCGGGCACAGTGGCCCAGGCCCGGGTGGGGTGGGACTGCTGGGCCATGCAGCAAAGCCTGTCTCAGAAGAAAACAGAAAGGGCTGGGGTGCACCGGGTGGGGGCATGTCCCTGGGCCCGACCCCAGGGCCACACGCACACAAATCCAGAGCCATCTCAGAGATTACAGCATCGCAACCCGCGCCGAAGGGCCGCAAGCCGTGGTGTACTTTTACCTGTAGCTGCCACAGGCACCCGGCCCACCCCTGCTTAAACCCACCTGGGCACATGCCCATCCCTCTGAAAGTCCAGGGTCCTGCCGCTGGGTCCTTGGCCTGGTGTCCCCCCAGCCTCCTCACACCCTGAGCCCAGCAGCTTCCTCCCTGACGGGCTGACTCTTACCTTTAGACTTTGCCCCTGCTGTTCCTCAGCCGGGCGCGCTGTTCCTGGAGACTGCCTCCTGCCTCTTTCAGGCCTCAGGCCACTCCTCAGAGATGACCCCCTGGCCCCTCCTGGCCCTCCCCACTCCTGAATGGTTTCCTTCCTGCGTGAAGGTGGGGAAAGCCCCGGGACACGGTGTCCTAGTCCTTGGAACCTGAGAGTCTCCCTTCCGGGGCTGCTGCCTGCGTTTCAGTTAAGGCCGGGGGCGGGAGCGGTGGTCGTGGGCTACCCCGTGAGCCCTAAAGATCACCAAGTGTCCCTCTAAGAGGAGGCAGAGAGAGATCTCCCACAGGAACTGGGGACATCAGCGTGGGACGGACAGGCTGTGGGGCCCCTAGGAGCTGGAGGGCAGGACATGGACTCTCCCTGGAGCCTCAGGAGAGGCCAGCCCTGTGAAAATGACCTTGGAATTGCTCCCGTCCTCTGGAATGATGTGTTCAGGCAGCAAGTTCATGGTGCTGCTCCAGCGACTGTCGGATACTCAAAGCCTCCCATATGCTGCCTTAGTCCATTCTGCGTTTCTACAACAAAGTACCTGAGGCTGGGTGCTTTATAAAGAAAAGAGGTTTTGTTTAGCCCGTAGTTTTGGAGGCTTATGTCCAAACAGCATGGTGCAGGCTCTGGCCAGAGCCCTCCTTGGCTGCATCACCTCGTGGTGGACGGCAGTGGAATGAGCGTCTGTGACTGTCACAAGTTGCATCATCTCAAAGCAGGGAGCCAGGGTGCTGGTGGGCCCGGCTCAGCAGCAGGGCTTATGACGACGTCTCCCGAGACCCGAAGGGTCCAAGGAAGGACCTTAGTCCCTTCCCAGAGCAACCCTGACCTGAGGGCCTCCCCGGATCCCACCACCGTGCCTCGCACACCAGGACACGCCTCCACCACGTAGACCCTTGGCGCCTCTCAGACCATGGTGTGCCAGACGCCACAGGCTCCCCCCGATGCACTCGTCTCCCACCACAGGGAACCCCGTAGGAGCAAGAATGTTTTGCTTTGATCACCGCTGAACCCCAATCCAAGATGGTGCCGGGCAGGTAGCCGGCGCTCAACAGATGAGGGGAGTGGGTATTGCCCACCCGGGAATACAACACGGGGTCCGAGGACCCTGCAGGCTCCCGAGGCCGGAGGAGCCACCTCGAGGACCGCTGCGCTCAGCCTGGAAGGGAATTGAAAAGAATCTCCAGTTCCAGAAAAATCTCCCCTGCGAGGGCTCCCAGGGCCGAACCCGGTGGAGTGGACCAGCCCGGAGGAGAGGGGTGCAGGTCGGGCAGGAGGGGCGCTCAGCCACCTTCCGGTGCCTCGGGAGGCTGCCTGCAGGCAGTTCTGGAGCCGTCTGTCCGTCTGTCCAAGCAGAGCCGAGGCCTTTGGAGGAAGCACCCCACTTCCAAGAACATCACCTGAATCTACTCGTGTGGAGACCCCAAGTTCCGTGCACCCACGTGGCGCAGCAAGGGGCGCCCTGCTCCAAGCCACGGACAAGCTCTTGTCCTGGGGTCGTGTCCACGGGAGCCTGGCCAGCTGCCTGCGGGGCCTGCCCAGCCCGCTCTGCAGCGCCCGGACCTGAGTGGGAACCTCTGCAGCCCTCGGTGGACGACGTCCTCGCTGGGGGACACTTACCGCCAGGGGCAAGGCCGTCTGTGACTTCGTCCTCCAGGGCTCCCAGCCAGCAACTCAAGTTCTGGAACTGTCCGGGGGGAAAAAAATTTAAACATGGCAAGAATTTTCAATTAAAAAAAAATTCAAAGTATTACATAAAAACAAAAGTTGCGCGTGTTTCTGGGGCAGCTGGTGACGTTTCATCTCGCGGACGCAGTGCGCAGTGCCCGGAGGGCGGCGTCTTTCTTGCCAAACGTTTCTTGATTCTTTGGGGTAAAACATTCAAAATCTCAGGCCAGGGGTGTGGCTTGGCGTAGAACGCCTGCCCCGCGTGCACGAGGCCACCCAGCACCACGCACACACACACTCACACACACACACACGCATGCACACACGCACGCACACGCACGCACACACGCACACACACACGCACACACACGCACGCATGCACACGCACGCACGCATGCACACACACACACTCACACACGCACTCACGCACACACGCACACACACACACGCACACACACACTCACACACAGGCACGCACACGCATGCACACACGCACACACACGCACGCACACGCACACACACACGCACACACACGCACGCATGCACACGCACGCACGCATGTACACACACACACTCACACACACACACTCACACACGCACTCACGCACACACGCACGCACACGCACGCACACTCTCACACACGCACGCACACGCACGCACACTCTCACACACGCATGTACACACACGCACGCACACGCACACACACACGCACACACACGCACGCATGCACACACACGCACACACACGCACGCATGTACACACACACCCACGCGCGCGCTCAGAACCCTTCTTCCAGCTTCTGGCCTTTCGACGGGCGCAGGACATTGTCCTCCCTCAGTGGTGGGCTCTGCGGCGGCTCTGGCCTGTCCCGTCCAGCTGGGTCTTGGGGCCTGCCCAGCGTCCCCGCGTGGGCGGTGGGTTGTTGGACCGTTTTTCTGGGTGCGTGGCCTGAGGGCTGAGGGGGAATGGCTGTGGGGGGCCAGCCAGCCTCTGGGCGGAGAGCTGGGGCCGGGGCTGCCTGCCCGCCCCGCTCCACCCTCGCCGCGGCCCAGCCCCTCTGAGGGGCGCAGCATCCTCACCAGGCACCCAGAGGGGGACTTCAGGCCCAGAGTCGGCAGTCGGGCAGATGAGGGATCACTTTTTAGCAAGCAGGTCAGGGTGTCGTTAGGAATATTCTAGAATGGGCAAGAGTGGTCGTCAGAGCCTCGTTTGCTCTGGGAGCACCCGGGAAGCTGTGGCTCTGTGTTCTTGGCAGATTTAGGTGCGGTGACCTCCGTGGGTTCCATCCAGCACCAGGTGCCAGGAGCCCAGGGGGCCTCTGGCCAGTCCTCAGCCTCATGTCCCCTCTGGCCCCCATGGACTCTGGTCTCTGCCCAGACCAAAGCATTGTGTCCCTGCCCAGGGCCAAGGCATGGCACCCTCCTTCCGCCCAGGTCTCCTGGCAGCTGGCGGCCGACCGTCCCAGACTCGAGCAACCCCCGCAGGCCCCTGCCTCCTGGTACCCGGGACCGGCTCCGGGACCCACAGGCACTCGGCCCCCCGTTAGGCTAGTGCCATGCTGGCACAGACCCCGGACTTCAAGCCCCGTCCAGGTGACTCGGACTCCCCACACCGTGAAGCGCCGTGGACACAGCCGTCCCGCTGCCTGGCTTCATGACAAGCGAAACGTCCACGCGCGTCCACAGACGCGTTTTTAAGGACCGTTTTCCACCCGAGGCTGGTTGGACCCGCAGAGGCGGAGCCCGCGTGTTCTGGGGCTCCTGCTGGGACTCAGTGGCACCAGGGAGCCACCGAGGCACGAGCTGCGGACGGCGGGCAGTGGCCGGGTCCCAGCTCCAGCAGGCCTGCTCCCTCTGCGAGGCCGCGAGGCCGCTCCTCCCTGTGGAAGCGACCCCCTCCCAGGCCCCGGGAAGCACTGTCCAGACGCAGCTGCGAACAGAACAGGCCCCGCTCTGTAGGGGCTGGGCACCGGGCAAGAGGCGGGTGTCTTTCCAAAGAATTCTCCAGCTGCCGGGGCTCCTCCCGGGGCAGCGGCCCAGCGGCTGCAGGACAGTGGTCTTGCTGTGCGCCCAGCCCTGGAGGAACCACAGGCTCTGCCTCGGATAGGGTTCAGCTGGGCCCACAGAGCCGCCTGTGTGTCCCCCGCCCCGGGGCTCACCGTGCCGCTCCTCCCAGCTGGCCACCCCTCTCCAGGGAACATCACCGGGGCCCACTGCTCGTCCTGGTCTCTCTGCCCACTGCCCTCTGCAAGCCCCTGTGGAGCCAGAGCCTCCCGCAGCCTGGAATCGCCCAGCTCACTGCACAAATCCCCGGTTTGCTCCTCTTAGAAAGACACAGCTGTTAGGTGGGGGCTCCCCGTGACCCAGCACTGCCCGACCTCATCTTAACTCCGTCACGTCGGGGAACCCTGCCGGAGCTCCTCGCTGGCTTTGGGAAGACCCTCGATGGAAGCCCATGGGGATGTCACCCAGCCCTGGGCACACAGAACCACGTTGCCCGGACCCGCACACCCGTGATGAACTCACCTCCTCGCGCCAGAGGGTCCATCGCCCCTGCTTCTCTGTGGCATGTCTGAAAGGCCAAATAATGACATTTCGGGGTCATAATGAAGAAAAACAGGGGTTCCTGGCAGACAAGCACCGTGACACCACAGCAGGCAGTCTGATAACGGAGACAGTGACTGAGTCACTAACAGGAGAGTAGCATCCACCGTGCGGATACGTTGAACGAAAGGATGACCCAGGTGCTGGAGCCACAGAGTGCACGAAGTCACACGCTCCTCAGGAAAAGGGAGACTTAAAACTTACGGATCTTATTCTATCTGTGGTCATATTTGTTTCTGGAGTTTTCTATTTAGTATTTTCAGACCAGAGTGGATGGCAAGTAACTGAAAATGCAGAAAGCAAAACCACTGATAAGGGAGGGTGACTGTGTCCCAATGAGGCCACAGCCCAGCACCAGGCATCGGGACTTGAGCGGATACCTCAGGGACCCAGCTCTACCCAGGACAGAGGGATGCAGCCATGCTGTCCAGCTTGCGTACAGAGGGGACGGCTCTCTCTTTGTAGTCATTACCGGATGGATCCCAGGGCCTCCCACAGGCGAGGCGAGCACCTGCACGTCCGCCCAGGTCCAGCCGCGGTGCTGTTTATTTTGAGACAGGGTCTTCCTGAGTTGCTGAGACTGACCTTAAACCTGTGCTCCTCCTGCCTCAGCCTCCCGAGTAGCTGTGAGGGCTGCCATTTGTCGCCGTGCCGGCAGACTCCCCCCTGTAACAGAGGCTCCCTATCAGGGACTCCGAAAGCAAATTCTCCAGGAGACCTCAGGGTGGCCCTGGGCGGTGGGCAGGGTTTTCAGGTCTGGAGAGCTTGGGGCTGTCCCAGGGCTTGGGGAGTGGCAAGGTCTCACCTGCCTTGGGAATCCCAGCTCTGCGGGCGGGCAGGGTGGGCATCTGCCGCACTTGGGCCTCCTTCCTGGAGCCTGGGGCCTGCACAGGACCCTCACACCGTCCAGTCGGCACGATCCCTCACCTTGTGGGATGTCCTCTGCCTCTGGGGGCTGCTCTGGGGGACATGGGCTCCTGATGTCATCCTGCACCAGTAGTGCTCGCCCTGACCCGTTCCTTCCCCTCCATCCACCTGCCCCGTGGTGCCCTGCCTGGGGCTGCTGCTCCCCCCGCGGCCCCCCTCCTGCTCCCCCCGCGGCCCCCGTCCCTCCCCATGGCCCACATCCCGTCTCTGGACTCCTGTCCTTGACCCTCCTGTCACTGGGTCACAGCCGGTGGCCTGTGTCTGTGGCTCTGACTGAGCACCAGGTCTTCAGGTCCGTCCAGTGCGGCTGCCACCTCGCTCCTGTGGGTGGTCGAGGGACACTCCTAGTGGACACCCGGGTGGTCTTCTCTGCCCGACTCTGAGGTGTGCGGCTGTGGACCCTGAGCACGGATTTCCTGTGGACGTCCACTCTGCTCTGGGCCTCCACCCGCGAGATCAGGCCGACCTCTGATTCACTCGGGGCCTCAGGCCCCCAGATCACCCTGGGACACCAGAGGGCAGGGGACAGAGACCCGCTGCACCCTGACAGACTGGAAGAGGCGCAGGCTGAAGCTCTCCCCCCGACCCCAGCCGCTCTGACCAGATGTGAGTCTCCCGCTGCGGCTCCAGGGGGCCAGCGCCCTGCAGGGAGGACTCTGGCCGCCCCACAGAACGAGGTCGCAGCTTGCAAACCCGAGCTCAGCTCCCCGGCCCTGGAGGAGGCCAGGGCTGCCCAGAGGGACGTGCACGCCTGGCTGCTTCTCAAATCGCCTTCCTGGTCTGCAGCGGTCGGTCGGGTTTGCAAAAATGTTGCAAAGAGGGTTCCAAGAGCCCCAGAGCCCGCCCTGGTTTCTCCTGGTCTGCCTCCTGCTGCGGCCCGGGCGCTGGCCACGTCCACGTCTTATCAGCTGCTGAAGGCCACACTGGATTCAGATTTTCTCGGTTTTGTCCCTGATGTCCCTTTCCAGTGGTGGGACCCCATTTCCATGCTACCTGGCAGCAGGTCTTCAAATCTTCTCAGGCTCCTCGGAGCAGGGACGGGGTCTCGGGGGCTCCTTGGTGCCCCACGGGGCTGCCGTCCACCAAGATGGGCTGACCTTCTCAGGGACCCCTGGGTTCAGGGCAGGAGGCGCAGAGGGCCCCGCGGGCTGCTGCGGGCGTGGCCACCTGGCTGACGCTGCGTGGCCCCTCCCCTGGACGCTGTGGCCTGTGGGAGGGTCACGCGTCTCCTGGAGGCCACCTCTGCAGACCCCACCCGCAGCTCCCCTGCACCGGGATCCGTCCCTTCTCCCGTCCACGGTGGCCATCAGCGTAGACTCGGGGACATTCACCTCCCACCTGGAGTAGAATCCAGGAATATCCTGCTATTGGCTGTCAGCCGCCCAGCGCTGGCCGGGGCGTCCTTCAGGCTGACTCGCGAGGCCCTCGCCCCTCTGGGGAGCCCTCTATCCCGCAGGAGAGTCGGGATCCTTCCCTCGGGGCTCGGCTCGCCCCGGCCCCGGCGGGCGCCACGTTGGCGGGGGTTGGGAGGAGCCTGGCCCAGAGGCTTCCCAGGTCTCACGGTGCCTTGTCCACCCTGTTTTGTCTGCACCGCGGATGCCCGGGTCGCCCTGCGCCTCTGGTGGATCTCCACGCTCCTTCCTGGCTGGGTCCTCAGGCCGCTCCCAGAAGAGACGGGCATGGAGCTGCTTGGCAGCCCCGGGGAAGACGCGTCCTGTAAGTCTGCCCACGGGGGGAAGTGGGAACCTGGTGTCTGCTTTGGCTCTGCCTTGGGCTGTCACTGTAAGAACATCAAAGGACACATACCCTGAGAGGGCAGTCAGGAAAGGGTGGCCAGGCCTGCAGGGCAGGTGGCCATGTCGGTGAGAGTCGTGTCACAAAGAGAGCACAATGCCTTGCTGTGTGTCCTGGAACTGCTTACTCAGCCTCTCTGGGCCTCCCGTTCCCCTTCTACTAAATACAGGTAGTGGGCTTCTTGCAGAGGGAGTCTATAGGGGTGAAATGAGGTGACAGGCGCAAGGTACCCAGGGGATGCCAGGATCGGAGTCAGAGGAGCCCTGGGCAGCCCCGGAAGGCCGTGCCACCCAGACTGCTCCGAGGACCCAAAGCCCTAGACTGGGCACAGGCCGCCCAGGAGGCTGGCGAGCTGCCCGAGCCCTGTGTTCTCCTCCCTGGCGTCTCTGCTGAGCTCTGCGTGGACCCAGCTCCGCCTGCATCTTGCCACGTGTCCCGTCACGGTGCCCCCCCACCTAATCAGGGGGACGGGCAGGCCCCTGGGGTCACACAGCAGTGAGAGCCAATCTGCCCAGTCCTCCCCTGCCCTGCAGCACTGCACCCAGCTCAGTGTCCAGGGGACGTTCAGGGAGGCCCGTCCCCGGGGCCAAGCAGGCAGCAGGGGCCTCTGCGCTAGGCCCCCAGCAGGGACCTTGGGCCGCGCCCCACGCGGCCGCTCAGCGGAGGGTTTCTAGGAGAAAGGCTGGAATTCCCAGGAAGGGAGCTGCCGGGAGAGCTGGAGGGACCCGCCAGGCCGTCCCGGGCCTTTCTGCCAGGCCACCTGGCACCGTGGCCACCACTCACACCTGAAACGTGCCCCCCCACACACATGCCCTGACGCCGTCCTCTGGAGAACCCTAGTTCCACCCATGGACCCCGACCTGATCCCACCTCCGTCCCAGGGACTCGGAGGCTGAGGCAGGAGGATGGCAAGTTCAGCCTGAGCAGTGTATCGAGGCCCGGTCTCCAAATGGAACAAAAGGCTGGTGTGGCCCGTGGGGGAGCCCTGGGCAGAGTGTGGGAAGCCCTAGGTTCCTTGTCAGCAGAGAGAGGGGGAGG